TGTGTGTGTGTGTGTGTGTGTGTGTGTGTGTGTGTGTTTTAAAGGGCTTTTTTTTCCCACAAAGGGTTGAGAGGGCAAGTAGGGATAGGAATAGAGTAGCAATAAAAAAAGGATAAAAAGAGAGTCACTGAGACCAACCATAATTCCAGAGAAACTATGATGAATGTACTGCCTACCGGCTGAAACAGAGATAACAAACTCAACCTGCAGATGGAGACACACTCTTCTGACACGACTAATGGGGGAATTTGTTTGGCTTGACTATGTATATGGAAGGGGGAAAGAAGGAAGGAAATAAAATAAAATGTTGTCCAGTAAAATTATATTAAATTTTTAAAAGGTCAGTAATGCATATTTTTTTAAAATGCAGAGAGAACAGAAGGAAGGCCAGAAAGAAACAGACAAGCGGACAGCTTGGAAAGCTGTTCATTCAACTGACTATATATTTTAAAAGAAAATTAAACCATACATTAAATTCTCAGAGAAGAGGGAATAAAAGAGGGACAAAATGATGAAAAAGTTCTATTAGGTATTATTTTAAACAATCAATCTAATACAAGAAAAAATAGCCTTTCAAAATAGATAGAGCAATAACAAATAACAGATTTGAAGTATTTATTGTATACCTCTGTATCCAATATTGGAAGTATATCTGGGAATTTCTGAAATCTAATTCTAATTTGTTTTGTGACAATAAACACAGAGAGCTATACTGTTCAATTACTTAATAGGAATGTTACATGAAATTACTTATTCTCATTTGTAAATGGTTTAAAAGATTTTATATATTTCAGAAGATAGTTTTTATTATGGTTTTCTTTTTAAAAACCTTGTAGGAAACAAACCTTGCACCTCTTATAGCTATAACTAGGGGCAAATTCTAAACAACTAAAGACAGAGGCAATTACAAAAGACAAAATAACTTCAATTATATGGAATTGAAAAGATTTTGCATGAATAAAATTAATATAACTAGGATAATAAGAAAAAAATTTTGTATCAAATATCTCTAATAAGGATCAAATATCAAAGACACATATGTAACTAATAGAAATGTATAAAACCAAAAGTCATTCCCCAATAAATAAGTGGTCAAAGGATATGAATAATTCTCAAAAAGACTGTAAAACTATGAATAATCATATATTAATGGATAAATAAAATTAATACTCCAAATCACTAATAACAAAAGAAATGCAAATCAAATAAGCCTTAGAGTTTCATCTCAAATTCAGTAAATGTGCCAAGATAACACAAGTGACGACTACTCAATGCTACAAGGGTTGTGAAAAGACAGGCGTACTAATGCACTATTGGCAGAGCAGTGAAATGGTACAACCAATCTGCAAAGTAACTTAGAATTATGAAAATAAAGTGGCTAAATTGTCTATACCCTTTGATTCTGATATTCCACTATAGGATATACCCCAAGGAAGTTAATGGCAATAAGAAAGGCCTCATCAATAACAAAACATTTATAGCAGCACTTTTTTTTTTTTTTAGGAGAGAAGAATCTGAAACAAAGTAGTTGCCCATCAACTGGGGAATAGCTGTGGTATATGAACCTAACAAAGTATTATTGTGCTGAAAGAAACAATGAATATGATGAACAGAAAAGTAAAGGAAAACTTTTGTGAATTGGTGCAAAGTGAAATAAGCAGAAACAGGAAAATAATATACACCATGACTACAATAATGTAAACAGAAAGGACAACAACAAAATAATGGAAACTGAATACTGCAAAATTACAATGACCAAGCTTGGCCCCTCAGAGATAGAAGAAGGCACTTCCCCCTAAATCTTTGCAGAGGTAAGGTATGGGCGTGGAACACTGCATGCAATGTAAGATTCTTTCAAAATGCTCATTATTTTTTTCTGAACAGTTTTTTCCCCCTCTTTTTTACTTTTTGTCATATGAGATGGCTCTCTAGGAGTAAGGAAGAGGGGATGTATTGGAAAGTAAAGGAGACATAAAAATGAAAAATAATAAGTTATTTTAAAACACAATAAAATAAAAATGGACAGGATAATTGCTTTTCAAAGTACTTTAAACTTTAACCCACCATACTTACCTCACTAAGAACAGCTGGCTGAGGACAATACAATGGAGGAGAGGGAAGATACAAGCCCATAGGTACTAAGCCCCATAACCTCCTACTGAAGTCTTTGGCTGAGTCTATCAAAAGCTGAAATGTCTCTGAAAGAATATCAGCATCAGCCATAACTGCTGCTTTTAATACTTCCTGTATGGAATTAAAAAGTAGGTCTACATCTTCTTCTTCAATGGGATCTATAAAATTGGAAAACAAATATTAAATATATCATTTTATAACCATTAATTTGTGGAAACTGATAAATTTCAAAGCTAAACATCTAACTTTTTACAAGTTAACTCTCAAGCATAAATATACTTACATACAAGTAATTAAAATTACTTATTAAGTGTCTGCTATATGCCAGATACTTTGCTAAGCAATAGGGATACAAAGACAAAGAGAAGCAAAAAATGTAGTCCCTGCCCTCAAGAAGCTCACATTTAAATAGGGGAGACAATGTTAATGCAAAATATATACAGTATAAGTGGAAGGTAATCCCAGAGAAAGACACTAGCAGCAAGGGAGATCAGGATTTGAGATGAATCTGAAAGGACCAAGAAACCAACAGCTGCAGGTGAGCATCCCAGGCCAGTACCAACATAGTCAGATGTTAAGAGGGATGCGTGAGAAACATTAAGGAAGATAGTATTGCTGGTAAATAGTAGAGGGAAGTAGAGTCCAAGGAGACTGGGAAGGTAGGAGGAGCCAAGTGGCAAAAAGCTTTAAATGGCAGAGGACTTTATGTTTGGTCCGGAGGATCAGTGGAAGTCCCTGGAATTCAAGGAAGGGCTGACATGTTTATACTTCTGCTTGAGAAAAATCACTTTGGCAACTGAGTGGAGGATGGACAGAATGCAGAGAGGCCAGACTAAAAGGCTACTGTGCATACAGAGGCATGTGACAATGAGGGCCTGCACCAGGGTGGCCAGCTATGTGAATTGAGAGCAAAGTTATATAAAAGATGGAGAGAAGGCTGATAATAGCCGGGATATATGGAGTTGATGTGAACGCAGAATCATGGAAGACAATGAGGTTGGGGGCCTGAGTGACTGGGAAGATGGTGGTACCCTTGACAATAAAATAGAAGGTGAGAAGAGGGGAGGTATGAAGAAAAGACAATGAATTCTGTTTGGGGCATGTTCAGTTTGAGATGCTAATCAGAGATGTCCAAAAGGCAGTGGGTGACAGAGACTTTTTGTTGTTGTTGTTTAGTCATTTTGGTCATGTCCAACTCTTCATGACTCCGTTCTTGGGGTTTTCTTGGTGAAAATACTAGAGCAGTTTGCCATTTCCTTCTCCAGGTCATTTTACAGATGAGGAAACTGAAGTAAATAGGGTTAAGTGACTTGCCCAAGGTCACATAGCTAGTGTCTGAGACCAGATTTGAACTTGAATCTTCCTAACTTCATGCACAGCACTCTGTCCACTGTCACCTAGCTGCTCCAAGGAGACTAGGGCTACGCGCGCGTGTGTGTGTGTGTGTGTGTATAAAAATAAATCTAGGAATCACGTTAATAGATCACTAAACCCATAGAGCTGATGAGATCACCAATGAACCCATAGGAGCCTTTTGGTCTTTCTTAGCAAGGGGGAGGGGGCAAAGAGAGAGGAGTGGGAGAGGCAAAGTACTTGGTTAAGAAGGTGGGGGAAGGTATGGTTTGAGGAGGGATGAAAAGGTCTGAAAAAGCTGCTGTGGTGAGATAGGGAATTGATTAAGGAGGAGCAAAAGAATCATTATGCCATAGTGAGGTCCCAGTTAAGATTATATAAAATCAATTTGTCATGAACACTGAATAGTTTCATATTTTTCTCCATTATTTAGAAACAAGTGACTAAGAGTGAAGGCAGTAGTTGTAGGAGTAACATAAGGATGAGGCTTGGCAGGGTAAGATTCCAATAAGAGACCAGGAGACTAGAGAAAAGAGTGCAGAGTAGAACTGGTTCACTAAGATGTCAGGGTGGGCATTAGAGTATAGCCAGTGCAGGAGTTATGGCCTGGAAAAGAACTGAAGGATAGAGGCACCAGAGGCTACAGGAAAGACAAAGAACAAGTTTAGGGGTTGTGAGGCAGAGATAGAATTATAACAGATCATAATCAGATAGAGGAATTCCTGAGTTCATGAACATAAACGTGGCATACCTGCATATAATAGCAAGAGTAAAGTTATGACCATTTCTACAGCTGAAGTGGGGTGGAGAGATAGGTCATGGGAAAAGAACAAGTCAAGGAATTAGGAAGTAAAGGTGTTTGAGAGAGTATCAAGATGTATGTTGAGGTCCTCTGGTATGAGCACAGGAGTTGGGGAGAAGAGAAAGACTGTGAACCAGGCAATGAATTCTTTGACAAAAGAGGGAAAGTGCCTGGAGGGTGGTAGATAATGCCTACCAAAACCCTGACTGAATGACAAATAGGGATTGAATAACCCTTAAAGGAGCAAGGTTACTGAGGCGAAGGGAGGGGGTAAAGTGGTAAAGCAAGACTCTGGAAGTGGCACTGGGGAGCAAGGTGTGTATTCCTTGCATCTCCAGTACATTAAATCCTTCTCTATGAAGGATTATTGGAAAAATATAAACAAGAAACACACAATAGTAAAAGTATAAAGGGATTGTAATGTATATACATAAAAATAGGACCCACAAAAATATCATAGATCCATCAAGGTCTCAAAGCATGTTTTGATTCTTAACGAGTTTGGGAGAGCTCAGGTGTTTAAATTACAAGTATTGTCTACTGTTTTCAGACAATAAAATTAAGGTGTGGTTCAATCTGTGGACACATAAGACTTTTAGAAATAACATGAAAGAATTTACATAAATTAACCTGATATATATATAACACCAAATGATAGGTACCATACCTGTAAACTGTTTGTATTTAGGACCCAACTCATTAGTCACTTCCAAAGACGCTGGCTGACCTAAAAAACACTGTAGTTTTTCCTGAAAAATTCGTGTTGGAGTCATGTTTAATGGTAGAGTTAAGTCCTTTTTCTTACACCTCAAATCATTTGGGAAAGGAAAACAAAGGGAAAAGTCAATCCTACTCTGGAAAAAGTGGAAATTCCAAGATTTATTACACATCTTTAATTTATAAAAAGATAGTTATGGATAATAAAACAACAGATATTACAAATATAGCACATTATTATTTAACAAGTTTCTTGCCTAAAACTATATTTTAAGAAACAGATAGTACAAATATTATTATTCCTGATTTATGATTGAGGAAAATGAGGAACAAGAAAGTTAATAAATGTGTTTATGGTTTCATGGCTAACAGCATAGGAACTGGGGCTGAGCCCAGTTTTTAGAATTCACTGTCTGGTGCTCTTTCCACAAAAATATATTGACCTTCTCATGTTCAGAGATCACATAAATATCTACAGTCAAAATACATTATTCAGAATTTTTAAAACAATAGAACACAAACCACTTTAATTGGCTACTTTATAGCCTCAATTAAAGAAAAGAATGAGAACATAATGGATTTCTTTCAACTTCTATATGAAATGTAGAGGCATGTTTTTAATCTTTAAAAATATTAAGTGCCCCTTTGAAGGTGAGTATTAATTTGAAATAAATACATTTGGAAGTGACAAAGTTCCTATATGAAATACAAATAATTCTAATAACAAAAATTAAACTCTCAAAATTATGACACTAGTGTGATAACTGTGAACTTAAACATACTTGAAAAATACACACCTTGATAAATTGCTGTCATTTTTATAGCATAATTTGAAGGCTAAACCAACTGAAACAGCCATCTTCCAGTCACCAAGTCTGTGAGCAAGCCACACAGCCTCTGGGACCAGACCAGAGATAAACAGCAATTCGAGAGCATATTCAACTGTCCATAGAGAAGAGAGATTTTGATCTCTAATAACACTTGCCACCTTAGAGTGTTGTAGAGGAATGATTCGAACAGACTGTTCTGTGAACAAATAAAGAAAAGGAGGAAATATAAAATTTTAAGCATATTTATAAAACAACTTGGAATTTTTTAGGATAACAGCATGCTTCCTTAAATATCTATGTTGACCTCTCCAACTAGCTGATTCATTCAGTCTTCTGCAATAAAGTCCCAAACTGTTTAGGGTTTGGGGTTATTTGGCCAGGGGTTGGGGGGAGAGTAGCGTTTGAGGTTTTGGTGTTTTGGGGTTTTTTTTTTTTTTTAGAATTAAACCACTTTATTTAATTTTCTTGGAAATCTTAGGCTGGCTTCTTTAAAACAAAGCCACAGAAATCCAAAGGCCCCAAACAGACTTGCAAAATGATATTTAATAAATTCTAAAAGTTCCTTTTCACTACCTATGTGAATGGTACAGATAAAAATCAAAACACCTGGATTTAACTCACTGATGAAGACTCATTTACACAACAGTTTAAATCAATCAACAAATATAAAACTGTCTCCATGCAGCCTTGTGGATTTGAAGTTAGTGCCCTAAAAACTTATTTAGTATATTCTTCTTGGAGCTTTTATCCTAAATGGGCTTGACATCCTAGGGGTTGAGAATCAAATCTGAGTTCTGATCAAAGAATTGGTATCATTTATTTTTGTCTACAGTATTCTCAGTCTCTTCTCTTCTTTCTTTCCCACACTCAATTCTGATCCTTACCTATTTTTCAAGACTGATAGAACACTGAGAGGGGAGACTAAGGGCAGAGAAAACAAATGTAAATAACCAAAACTAGATTCTTTTGTTAGTCCCCACTCAGACCTCCAATCAACACAATATGTCAGGCTTCCTGATGACAAATCCAATGTCAGAGGCTCTACAGACAGCCTGACACAGGAGCCCAAGGCCAAACACCATAGGCTTCCCTCAGGATATAGCATCCCAATAAGACCCCCAAAAAGTCAGATGGTGAGGCTCTTTTTGTCTTTGGCCACTGATACCCATGGTTCTCGAGTAGATGAAGATGATTTTCCACCCCAGTAAGAAAAGAGGTTGTATTAACTGGAAAGGTTCCTTCGATGTCTAGAGTTCTGATTGCCGAAGGGGTGGAGCCAAACAGGGTTATCCCTGGGTAGGATCATAGCACTCAGAAACCTAGCAGCCTACACTGGCACAACAGTTCACATGCCAGCATTATACCCTGTCCTGTTCTGGCTATGGCTTAAACTTATTATCTAATCATTCTACTTCTACCTGTAGACTTTACTTATTGCTTAGCTCCCTTTTACTTTTCTCAAATCTAGCCACCTATAGTCTGCCTAACAGTGTTCACTATCTTGTAACTTACCTAACTCTCTAAATTCACCTAAGTTCATCACCCACAGCTTCTGGTTATCTAAGCCAGGACAGAATTTCTTTCTAGCTTCAACAAAAGAAAAGGAATTAAAAAGCACAGACAGGGTTGGGGAACCTGCGACCTCAAGGCTGCATGTGGCCTTCTATGTCCTTGGGTGCAGTCTTTTGACTGAGTCCAAGTTTTACAGAACAAATCCTTCTATGAAGGGGATTTGTTCTGTGAAGTTTGGATTCAGTAAAAGGGCTGCACTTGAGGATTTAGAGGGCTACATGTGGCCTTGAGGTGGCAGGTTCCCCACCCCTGAATAGGACCTGTGCCTGAAGGAAGAAGTCACCAATAAAGAAGAAAAAGGATACAAAAAGGGGACTCTGGAACTATGAAAGACAAACATAAAAAATTTAATTATGATTTGTTTTATGTTCAAATGTATAAGGACAGCTGATCTGTATTCAAAGACAGCAAGTTCCCTATACCAATGAAATCAGAGATTTGGTCTTATAAAACTTATCAAATACAACTTGGCACTTTTTTTCTAAAGCTCTTAGCAACAATTTGTTCTCAAATTGTCAACTGTTCAAATGTACCACCACTGGACAAGCCAGTTAATTTCTCTGGGCCTCAGTTCCCTTATCTAGATAATGCTTCTTAAATTGTGGGTCTCAACCCACAGTTTAAGAAGTACTGAAAGGGTCATGAGTGGAAAAAGTTTAAGAAGCCCTGATCTAGAACACGAAGCAGTTGGATTAGATGAATTCTCAGGTCCCTTGAAATTCTAAGATCCTATGTCCTAAATCTCTTTCATGATAAGAACAAAAGTAAACTTCAACACAGTACCTTGCTAAATGACCACAAATTTTTAAAATGTGGAATCTAATAAATGCATGAAACTTTGCTGTAATACTTCTGCATGTATATCTGTATATATGTACAGCAGTTCTATTCTAAATAGTCACAGAAACCACAGAATCCCAAAAGTGGAAATGAAGTCAAATATCATTTCTGTATGAAGGCTCTCATGAAGACCCACCAGTTGAGGGAGTGAGAGGAAGGAAAAGGCTGTTATATTCATTCATAAACAATTATTTCAAAAGGCATCAACAAAATTTTACTTTAAAAAAAAAGAATATCTGTACAACATCTGTGACAAATAAAGCTTTTCCAGGTTCTGCCAAAAAACATCCAGTAACAGGAATCCTTATGAATATCAATTACCAAAAAGAGATGACAAACTATCTCCAGTAAATGAAAGTAAGAACCTGATCTTACTGGCATTCTCATGTTACAAAAGTCAACTCAATTCAAGCTACAGAACAATCTTTAAGTGCTGTCAATCAATCAGAAGCATAATTTAAAGTGTTATATTCAAGAACAATAAAGCATTGTTTAAGCTGAGGCACAGTTAAATATTGTTCTTTCAATAAAAATACCTGATTCTATGTGAAGTGGAGGAAGAACACCCACACTGTGAGGTGGGAGCACATAAAGCTGCTGGTTGGCGAAATAGGCAGCCATGAATCGAGCCATGCACTGAACAACCACAACTGCAGCCTCACGATGAACATTTCCAATTGTTCCAAAATCACAATAAAAACTCTCTGAAATAAAAGGCAACAAAAACATCGGTAAAATGAGGAGACTCTGAACGAACCAGCAGAAAAGTGTCAAACATCAATCTGTCAATAATTCTTCACATACAGAACTATACACTACACTAAAGTCTATGAGGAAAAAACCAAAAAGACATAATTGACGATTATGTCTTGGTGTCTCACCTTAAGGATAACCGAAACGTTAAACTATTAACTCAAGTATTAAAATCAGAACAATTTTAAAATACAAGGAGTCTTACAACATAATTCTAGTGATACAAGAATTATAATGTTGGCTATTTTTTTAAAGTACAAAAAAAAACACTTAAAAAACTCCAGAATACTACTGGCAGGCATTAAAAAATCTGAGAATTAATACTAATCCTAAATAACTATACTAAAATTCAGGTTTTAAAAACATATAAGATGTATATCACACAGCTAAAATATAAAATTCAATCTCATTTCCCAAGAAGTAAATTTAATATGTAGGTCATTGTATGCAATAGCATGTACTGTAAAATAAGTGGAAGTTATAATCTTCCTAACATTACTAACTGCTCAATTTTGTCATATCAAGTTGGAGGAGATGGGAAGGAACCATTAGCTTCTTCAGATTTGAAGAGGAAAGAACTAAAGTGCCCAAAGAGTATATCTCGTGTAAAATATATTGCAGTTTCATTTCACTTATCCTATGGTTAATATTCATTTGACTCTAAAGTCCTCTCAAGCTATCATTCTTTAAACTCTATTCTCTTTCACAGCTATTTCTCCTTGAAAAAGTTGTCTAGTTATCTTTGCTTACTTGTTCTCTCCTCTAACTCACTTCTCAACCTTTTGTCATCAAGCTTCTGACCTCATCCCTCATATGAAACTGCCCTCTCAAAGTAAACAACTCTCTTAATTGCCAAATCCAGAGGCTTTTTCTTAATTTTCATTCTTCTGATGTTTCTGTAGCATTTGACCCCACTGCTCTCTCTGGTTTTTCTTTGATTTCTATTTCTTGGTGTTCTTACCTATCTCCTTTACAGGATCATCATCTCTTTCCTGTCCCCTAACTGTGGCTTTGGTCACTGTCCTGGGATTTGTCTTAAGCCCCATTCTCTCCTTTCTTTAAATTCTCTTTCAGTAACCTCATCAGCTCCCACTGGTACAATTATCTCTAGGCACATGACTCCCAGATCTATAGATCCTGCCCTGGCCTCTCTCCTGAGCTTCAGTCCAGCATCACCAACTTTTTTGGGCATTTGGAACTGGATGTCCTGCAGGCATTCTGTAAGCATACTAAGGTCCCCTTTCCCCTCTAAGATAAATACTAAGAAATAATGTTATTTTAGCATTCCTGATTTAGACCCAAACCTTATCTATTAATTAAAAAATTACAAGGAAACAAATTCCTATCCTCGAGTCCTTTATTTTCTTTCTTTCTTTTTTTTTTAGGCAATGGGGTTAAGTGACTTGCCCAGAGTCACACAGCTAGTAAGTGTTATGTGTCTGAGGCCAGATTTGAACTCAGGTCTTCCTGAATCCAGGACTGGTGCTCTATCCACTGCATCACCTAGCTGCCTCTTCATGTCCTTGATTTTCTACTTGTCAAGGCCTTATCAATCCAATCCTTAAGGACAGTTTGTACCAAATAAATGGATCCTGAGTTCTTCTTCCACAGCATCTCAAACTCAAGTCCAAAACCAAAAAAAGACACCAATGATAAAGAGCATAAGTCAAGTCACTTCACTGATTAGTGGGTCTTTATTAATTCTAGGATCAAATATAAACTTTTCTATTTGACATTTAAAGCCCTTCACAACCTGGTCATAATGTACCTTTCTAGCCTTATTATATAGAGTGGCCCAAACATCTTAGTGCAGTTTTATGCTATTAAAGCTTTAAACTGAACCAAGACCTTTGGGCTGTCCTGTATAATACTCCCTTTCTTCCTCAATATGATCCAGTAAAACTGGCCTTTTTATTGTCTCTCATCCACAACACTCCGTATCTTCAGTCTACTTTTTTTTTGCACTGGCTGTTCCTCATGCCTAGAATGCACTCCTCCTCATCACTGATCTTTAGAACACACAATTTCCTTCAAAGCTCAGGCTGAAGTGCCACCTTATACATGAAGCTTTTCCTTATTTACCTCCCCCTGCAAAAAAAAAAATCAGCTTATATTTATTATTATGTATTTTGTTTATATTTATATAAATTTTGGATATGTATAAGTTGCTTCCTCAGAATGTAAGCTCTTTGAGGGCAGAGACTACTTCAATTATGTCTTTGTATCCTTCCTTCTACCCCTCTGCCTAGCACAGTACCTAGCATATAGGCTACTATGTATAAATAATAATGGAATTAATAAATGAATAAATGCTTGCTAATTAGTCATACTTTTAGTAACTTCAACCATTCAGAAGAGAACCCAGTACTGAACAATAACAAAAATATCCTAAGACACAAAGATTATACATTAAACCAATACAGAAATTCATGACAGTCTACATCAATGTCCTTTCCTTTAACTATTTACAACATTTCATTACCAAGAGCTTCTAAATCAAGCTGAAATAAATGCTTGCCATATGTTCCCATCTTGATCCAGTTTTCTAATTCTTCAAGTAAGCATATCACATTAACAAAGTTACTATGCATTTATAACTTTCTACCTGCTTAGTGGTTTGGTATTTAAATCTAACCTAAAGAACAAAGCACTAAGTTACTTTGTGGCTTATATTAAGAAAACAAAAAAGGTGAGAACCTCAACGAGCCACTTTAATAAATGAAGAGCTACAGAAAAAAAAAGGAATGTGTTAAAGCAGATATTTAGAATGCTAATATGTATTCCTTTTGGAAAGAATTTAACCAATATTATAGAACCATGAAGATTTTCACCTTGGAGGAAGGGCATCTAATTTTCAATACCAAGTTTAGTCTAAAATTATATGCTTTGGACTCCAGTAAAATGAGATATATTCACATAAAAACATACCTGGAAAATATTCCTCTTCTTTGATAGATATTTGAGATTGTCTCAGAATTTCTCTTACCAACTGATCACACATTCCTTGAGCGTCATTTAAATTATAACAATAGAGGTGACAATACAATTGAGCAAGATAATAGCGTGTCTGAAGAAAGCATGTCCTCTTTCCTCCTTGACCAAATGATAAAATGTTAAGCTTTCATTAAAAACAAAAAAAAAATTAATAATACTTAGCTCTTCTTTAAGTTCTGAATAAGCTACAATCTATACCTCCAAGATTATTTCTTATTACTCCCCTTCAGTTTACATTTCAGCAAAATTGGCCTCCTTGCTGCTCCCCATTCCCTGTTCTTTACCTCTTGCCTTTCCTTTTGCCATTCCCCGGTACCTGAAATGTCCTTCCTCCTCATCTCCTCTGCTCAGAATACCTAGCTTCCTTCAAAGCTCAGTTCATGTGCCATTTCTGATGGTGAGCCATTCCTAATGCCATTAGTGGTTGGTGCTCACTCCCTCCTCCTGAAATTATTGTGTATATACTTACTGGTTTACATATTACACATAAGCTCCTTGGGATCATAGAAAGTTTTTCATTTTGTCTCTGTGTCAACTAGCATAGTGCTTTGCACAAGGTAGTCCTTTAATATCTGATGGACTGAATTGGCTGGATTGCAATTATCCACATTTCAACAGATTCTGCTCTATTTCACATGTCAGGATGACTAATGCCCACCTATCTAAAGGTCTGATGAAGAGATCTGCACATTAGCATTAACTGTAGACCAATGATGATTAGGGTTTCAAACATATACAGGGTAGAACAACCTCCCGAGGAACTATCCACCATGAAGCATTCTCAGGTAAAACGTGGTCAGAAACAACAAACTCCTAAAGGGCAGGGATTGTCTTATGCCCATTTTTGTATCCCCAATGCTTATCGCAGTGCCTGGCGCATAGTAGGTTCTTAACAAATCTTTATTGATTGAATGACTGCTATTTAAAAGTTGAGAAAGCTCTTCTAAAACAGAATGCTTTTCGAAAAGACTCCTGATGGAAAAGGCTGTCCACATCCAGAGAAATAACTATGGAGTCTGAATGCAAAACAAAGCATACTATTTTCACTTTGGGGGAGGAGGGTTCACGGTTTTTCCCCTTTCTTCTGTTTATACTTTCACAACACAACTAATGTGGAAATATATTTGATATGACTGCACATGTGTAACCTATATCAGATTGCTTGCCATGCTGGGGAGAGGAGAAAGGGAGAGAGAAAAAAATTGGAACTCAAAATCTTATTAAAAATGAATGTTGAGGGGCAAGTAGGTGGCACAGTGGATAGAGCACTGGCCCTGAAGTCAGGAAGACCTGAGTTCAAATTCCGCCTCAGACCAAACACCTGATACTTACTAGCTGTGTGACCCTGGGCAAGTCACTTAACCCCAACTGCCAAAAAAAAAAAAATGTTGGAAATCATCTTTACATGTAATTGGAAAAAAATATAATACAATTTACAAAAAAAATTAAAATAAAATAAAAAAATAAATAAAAGAGTACTTGCAGCCAGGAACAGACTACCCTATTGCCTCAGTCTGACAGTATGTATCACTAATACTTAGAAATCATAAAGTCCCCAAAAACCAATCCCCTAGAATTTCTACTCAACTACTTTTCATAGAAATCTGCCTAGCAAAAGTAGTTTGATTTTGCTTTTAGCATAGATGAACTTCTCTGAGCCAGGTTAATGGACAGAAGTTTCATATCTTCCCAAAGAAGACAAAAAGGCTCAATGTGTTTACAGTACTTAGTTCTCATTTCTACATTCTTCCCCAGTTACAAAAAAGATTACTTTATTTACAATTCCAATTTCTCTCCTTCTGAACATGTAATTGCAGTCATTGACAGATTCTGTCACTAACTAAAAAGATACAAGAACTTTGCTTATAGATGTAAGATACACTGAGATTAAATTTTAAAGTACACCTTTTTGACAACTAGTATGAATCAATTTTCTATTATATCTAGGCATTAAAAATGCTTTCAGCACTGTGAAATCTGGAATTATTTTTAATGATTTAACAGGCTCAGTAAATCAAATGACATATTTAGTAACCTCTAAGGTAGCAAACATTATTTTTTCTTTTTTAAATTAAATTTTATTTTAAGATCAGCATTTTCTCCCTCCCACTTTCTTCCTCACACTCACCTCCCACAAACTGAAAAAATAAGAACAAAACCTCTGTTACAAAAACGTATACTCAAGTATAACAAATTCCTGCACAGTTATGTCTCCAAAAAATATTTCTCAATTAATACCCTAAGTCTTCTCTATCAGGAGATGGATACAATCCTAAGTTCTCTGAAACTGTAGTGGGTCATTGGGCAAGTATTTTGGGGGGACAGTACCATTACCTATTGCTTTGGTTTCTTGTAGTGCTTTCTTCCACAGTTGAACAGATTCTTCATATGATCCCAAAAGAAAGTATTCCTCACCTCAAAAAAAAAAAATGAACACCAATTATCATTAACATTGTTAAAAACTCTTCTGCTGGTAGGGAAACAGTTTCACAAAAATAGCACTAGTGATACTATAAATTTCTTTCCATTAAGACTTTCAGACAGTCAACATTTACAAGTACCATATAACCATTTATAGCCTTTGACCCAGTAAGCCTACACTGGGGAAGATATGCCAAAAAAATAAAATAAAATAAAATAACCACCAAAGAGAAAAAAATAATTTGTCCAAAGACGTTCATGGCAATACCATTTATAAGAGCAAAACAAAAATTGGCAATAACCCAAAACCCCATGGGGAAAAGCTTAGCTAATTTTGAAAAATAAGCATCTTGATGATGTCGAATGGACATACGACTTTGGGCGAGTAACTGTTTCTCTCCAGGTTTCAGTTTTTCTATCCATAAAATGAGAAAACTGGAAAAGTCTCTTTCAGCTTTAAAACCTACAAAAATCTATGCTATTAATAACATTAAATGAAAAAGAAAGAAGACCATATAGTATTTGCATCCAGATTTAACTACATATAAATATGTGCAGTTACTCTAAAAAAGATAGAAAGAATAACTGGAGCGATATCATCTCATCTGCATGATGTTGTTTTTATACAAATTGTTTATTCATAATGAAACGTAAAAAAATATGCCTTTCTATTTCATTGGCTTGAGAATAGATATGACAAATCCTTAGCACTGCTTCCAAAATGAGACAAAGACTGGCAACATATTTTTAATCATATAGATTGAAATTCCTTTGGGGACACTGACCAATTACAGACTTAAGCTCCAAAGCTTGGTTCAAGCAATATCCTGCTGTCTGTAGAATAGCTTGTATATGGCATAACAAGGATCTGACAATGGGTTCTTCGTGTGCTATCCTTTTGGTTAATTGTCTATCATCCTTAGGGTCCATCCTACTTAGATGAGCTTGATACCACAAAGTTTGTTTGTACAATAACTGCCAAAGGATGGATAACCTGCACAGAAAGTTAGGTATCATATAAAAAACAAACTACAAACTTGAAATGAATATGTAACTTACTTTTGATATATCTAATAGGTAATTATCATTTTCCAAATATGTGTCTCAATTTAAATTCTAAAAACTACATATTTTATCATGAACAGCTACTTTCACAAATATTTTCTGGCAATATTACCATCAAAAGCTGATAATATTTTTCTAAATTATGTAATTCCAAAATCTAATCTTAGTATTTTCCAAGTTTCTAATTAAAAATATTTGTATGGTTATCAGAAATTCTTATAAAGACTGCTTTTGTTCCACAAGTACTGAATTCAATATATATCCTATAACACTTTTAATAACATGAAGCCTATTTAAACCTTCAGTGACATAGTAATATAAGTATACAATCATACCTATGGCCTGGCTTTTGAACAAGATTTATGGCCTGAGGAGGTATCTTTAAAAAAGAATTCCATGACCATGATTTCTGAGTACAGTTGTACGAAAGTTTTTGAAAAATAGGTACCACCAATGATTCATGATTCACTGTCCTATTTCCATCAGCTGATGTTGAAATCACCTGATGCTGAAGAATATATATGCCATTTAGACTGTCAGAGACCATCTTAAGTAAGTTGAAACAACCTAAAAGGGTATCTGAGAATAATTGATCTTGTTGCTGCTGAATGAACATCAACTTTAGAGTTTGAGATGTCAGTTTTACCAAATGTCCCACATCCTGTCTGTATCTCAGATCCCAGTACTGAACAGATAAACACTGATGAAAAAGTTGAAAGACACAGTGCAGCCATGCATTATGCCTTATGGTCTTATTTAAAAAAAGATTCTGTTTAAGAGAAGGACATTTTACAAACTGAAGAATGTAGAGAAAATGAATAATACAGATTACTGTGTAATTTAACATTAATTTTTTGTGTTCCACATTTTTTGAAATTCCAATATTCCAGGCTGCAAGGAGATTTTTCTGGATAGAATGTAGTTCTGTTATGATATCATCTTTTTCCTTTGTATCATCCTTTGCATGAATAGTATCAAACATGGATGCGAATTCTAGTCTTCCTTCTTCAACTTCATCAAACAAAGAATCACTTTTCTGATTCCAAAAAGGGAAAAAATTGTTGGGAAATTGTTTACTATTATTACTTTCTTCTACTTCATGATCCTGAAATGAGAAAAAAAATCTGAATATCAAATACCTCATAGCAATGATGCTATAGACATGATCAGGGTCCCCCCAATTCTCTTTCCCCTTTACAAGCAAGAAACAGAGGCTGTATTTCTTGACACTGAAATCAATACAGACTCCTATTGTTCACAGTAAATAAAATGTGATGTCAAGTACCTGCAAATCTGCCATTTTCTCAATCAATTCTCCTATTTCTTCCTCTGCCTGCAAGAATCTGGGGATGGCAGAGACAACTGAACTTTGGTTTCCTTGATGCTTTAACAGACTAGCCCGGAGTGAATCCAGTGATCGCAATCTCAGATTTTTTCCTTTAGACTGTAAAAGGGAATAGTGCGAAACTTTAAAAATTCATACTTTCATTACTTTTTCCACACCAGAAACATGTTAGTGTACAAAAGCAAATGGCAGTATTTATAATTTTGATTTTTATAATAATGCAATGTAAATATGCTTTACATTATCTGTAAAGATCATACCTGAGATATCAGCCCTTGATGTATTTTCTCAAGCCTTTGAGTTGATTCAAGTAGAAACGATTTCATAAGTACTGATGGGGTTAGATTATCAAAAAATCGAAGTACTGTAACCATATATCCATCAGAGACAATTAGGTAGGGTAATCTTGAGTGTGTTTTTACAGAAAATCTTTGTCTCATCGGGTCATTATCAGAGGCTGATGAATCAAGGGAATAACTTGAATCCTGAGGTACAAATTGCTGTGGTCTAGTAAACAAACCCCAAAATTCAAAAAAAAGGATTAGAAGGGCAAATTTACAGGGAAATAATAAAAATGTTTCCATTTTATATTGTTTTCCAAGGAAAAAGTAAAAAAAAAGACAGAAATAAAAAGTGACAGTATAAAAAGATAAAAGAGGAAGAATGAAAAGCAAAGATAAAATTAATTTTTTTCTTTTAGGAACAACGCAATAATGTATTTGGGGTTAAACAGTATATGTTATAAATTTTTATTATTATTTTATATTTTCAGCAAATTATGGCATCTTCATCAGTTCTTTGATTGATTTTTTTGCCTCCTAGCAATATATTTAAAACAGAAGAGAAGCCTAATTACATTTTTAAGGTCCTAGTTTACAATCCTTATTTTTATATCTCTCATGAAAGCTAGTACAGTGCCTTGTACATAGGTACTCAAGAAATGTTCATTAAATTTGATGAAGTGGAGTTAGGGACATTTGCATTCTGTTGATAGTGTAAAAAAAAAGAAATCAGTAATAAGGTAAGGTGTGTGGAAATGGTGGTGGAAAAATTTTTTTTATCTGCTTCTAAGTGAAACTTGGCATTTCTATAACTTAATTAAGTATTCTTTGAAATTAAATGGTTGCGTAAATTAATTTTTTAAAGCACCTGAAATGTACTGAAGTATATGGTCTTCTTAAGAAAATGGCTTGGGGCAAAAAGTAAAGGAATGTTCAGTGAAAAGGATAAGAGATAGTGGGATAACTCCTAGATCCCATCTACCAAGAGTCTCTCTATCTACTGCCCCTCTAATATTCTTAACAGCAGTTCTTTCCAGTTCTACGGCTGGAATTAGGGGGAAGAGAAGAAGAGACAAAGGAGGTACTATACCATGACATGCATTTCATTCAATTCTCCATGCTAGAAATTTAATATGACAGAGGCCAACTGCACCAACATAATAAAAGTACACAAAAAGTTTTTGTAAACATTTAGAAAATTTCATAAATTTAAATGATTGTAGTAATAGCTACATTTATATGGAAAGTCACAATAAGTACACTTGCTAACTATTTAATATCCTTTTAAATATGTTCTCACCTTGTAAGGTTGCTACATGGGTAAAAAAAACCCTTTATATTTTGTTTTAGAAACTATTCCAATATAAATATTTTAAATGACAATAAAAATTGGGAATCACTGATTCTCTTATAAATTATAAATCATATGTGACTTAATACACAAGTGAAAAAAATAATTTCAGTGCAGTACACAAATACCTCCTAAAACTTGCTGTATGACTAAAAAGTGTCATTTTCTAATCAAAAAATTCAAAGTCATAAATCTAAAACAATGGCTAGCTTAACCAGTAATTTTATTGGGTTACTTTAAATTCTACTTTAAAATTAATGAGAGGTGACATTCATATTAGAAATAAATATATGTTTTATATATTCCTACTTCAAAAGTTTAGGACAATGTGATTAATCAACAAGGGTTTCTTGCTATTTAAAAAAACTAACAAATTTTTTGGACAAATGCAAAAATTCATGTGCCAAATTAATTTTGAATTATAAATTTTTAAAGAGTTAAACTTTTATCACAAGAAATGTAATATATCATTATTAACTTTATATTTTTTCTGATGCTATTAAGACATGTAAATAATATACTTACATGGCCACAATGTCAATTTTTCACCAGGGTAAGGCCATAATAAGAAATAGGAGAGAACTACAAATAAGAAACAGATATTGAAATGACAGACACAAAAGAAAGACTTAATGTGAAAGATGAAATTATATAAAAAAAACTATACAACAAGTAACACCCAGGAAGGAAGATACCATCAGAAATTATATTATATTATATCTCACTTATATGTTATTATACTGTCTCACCTATATGTTATTAGTGGATGAAGAGGAATAAATTCTGCTGGTCCAAATTCTACAGAGCAACCAAATGTGACCAAAGTTAGTAATTCACCCAAACAGGTCAACAGAACCAAGGAGCCACGTTTTAATACACAGGCCAGAAAAAGGCTATCATGAGTCCAGCTGATATCACCCACCCAGTAGGACCTAGAAAAAGAAAAGTACAACACATTCACAAAACTCTTCATCAATAAAATGTAGGCTGCATTTTCAAAAATCCAGGGTTTTCCCAAATGATGTCTTCTGAGTTCCAAAGGCACAGATTTAAAGGGGTTGGAAGGTGAATAGTGTAGAGTTTGCTATAGCTATAATACTGATTCTATGTATTTTATTTGTTGGGGAGTATGTTATTCATGTTCTCAAAAAAATTTTTCTTCTGTACATTCCATTAAATACATTTATTTGGATATCAAAATGCTAATACCCACTAGAAGTGTAAATCCATCAGGCACTCATACATCATTGTAAATTGCTTTAGTCAGATTAGCAGCCTGTAACTATAGAGTAGGGATCACTAATATTCTAGAAGCATATTTAGTTGGTCTCCAAAACAATTAACACTGCCATGACACATCCCTAAATACAGATTCCCTCCTCATAACAACAAGTTAGTACCACCTCTTCCTCAGATTCATTTATAGATACCACTCTCAACTGCTCCCATCCCCATAGGAATGATCCCTTCTCCAAAGGCTAGGGACTTCTAAATCATACAATACTTAGCTGAGAACACTACCATTCAGGGAATGGGAATTTTGATTGTGGAAGAAAGAAAAAAAAAGAGTTATCTTAAAAGAGGGAAAATTTGGGTGAAGTGGACAAAACTCTACAGTCAAAGATGCACTTGAGCTGCCTCACAGATGGCAAGGGAGGGTAACGGGGGTGACGGGGAGAGAGGAGGGAGGATGGTTCAGAGACAGAGCAGGAAGACAAATGTTGTCTTCCTTGCAGTTTTACCTAAAGGCAAGGGGGGGAGGGGGGAAGGAGAGAGGGAGTAGAATAAGCATTTACTATGTGCCTGGCACTGAGCTAAGCACTTTACAAATATTTGCTTAATTAGTCTCACAATACTGCTAATATTATCCCCATTTTACAGTTATAGAAACTGAGGCAGACTGAGGTTAAGTGACTTGCTCAGGGGTCACTAAGTGTCTGCGGCCATATTTGAACTCAGATCTTCCTGACATGACATCAATCATCTGTGCAACTACCTCTTAAGCCCTAACGTGCCACTGAAAATCTTTTCCTGGGCTTCATGCCACAGTTTGCCAGTTTTTACATTAACATATAAGCAAGACTGAGAAATTATAATCCCAGTCACCCCTAGTCTCCCTATAAGTCCTGTTCTGTTCTCCACTTTATCTGAGTTCTGTCATCATACTTCAACTCCTCCTTTCCTAGAAAAGGGAAAAAGTGAAAAATAAAGAGATGAGAAAAGAAAGAGAAAAATTTATTTACAATTCCCCTCCCTAATAACTTCCTCTCCCACTTTTGATAATGATTGATTAATAGATTTTAATATCCAAAACTTCTAGAATCTATCCCTCACAAACAACAACGGATATAAAACAGACCCTTGACATTTGTAAAATTCCAAGACTTCTAAAAATTGTTCTGTAACAACTTCTTTAAAAGCAAAATTATTTTGGTATTCTCTAAAAGAGATCTTACCTAATGAGTCTGGATGGAACCACAGGATTCTTATTGCTACAACCTTTAAGACTACCACAGAGAGTAACAAAATTCAATACGTTTATAAATAGAATTTGTGTGGCCTAGAAAACAAATAAAAAAACACAAAAAAATAAACTGAGGATTATTTTGTAACTTGCAAGAATCTTTACTAATAATTTTGATTTTAGATCAAAATACTAAACATAATACTTACATTAATACACTAAACTCAATTCTGCCAATCCTATACATACTAAGTGCTATTGGACTTAAGAAACTTCCAATCGTACAATGGAAACAAAGGAGTACAGAAAGTGGGCAGAGAGCTATAGCAGAACATGTGGTCAGGTTTTATCAGTTCATAAAACTGGTCATAGCTTTTGATCTTGAAATCCCATTACTAGAAATAATACCAATTGTCTACTTGGTAGAATTAAATGAAATGATAATGAAATTTATGTGGGGAAAAAAGTAGGAAAGCTAGATTTAAAAAAAAGTCTGACGGAGACTTACCATCATTAACTTTAAAAAAATAAAAGAACTACCATTAAAACTATCTGCTTTTAGATTTAAAAAAAAAAAGAGTAGCATACCCCCTTTTAGGACTAAATGCTATACTAACCAAAAACTATTGATAACTCAAAAAATGTCAGAAAAACTGAATAACAATGTGGAGAAAAATAAAATTAGATCCATACTTCATACCACAACAATTTCAGTTAGATGAATGAAGGTTTTGTTTTGTTTTGTTTTATAAAAGTTTTAGAAGAAAACAGAATATTATGTAATGCCAAATGTGGAAAATATGTTCTTATCACTCAAATAAAAAAAAAGATAATTACGGATGAGGGCTGATGAAATGACTTTTTTTCAAACTGTTCAATGAATAACAGAACAATAAAAACAAGATAAGAAAAGTGACATGCTGTGAGAAATTTTTCTCAGTAATCATATTGTAAAAAGCTTGACATTCAGATTCTGTAAGCTATTGCTATAAGTCTAAAAAGGCAGAACACCCAATCTCCAATGAACAAATGAAGTCAATTCACAAAAGAAGAAACAAAAACTTGCAAACATGTTCAAACTCATGTGTGTTAAGTCTTTTTTTAGTCATGTATGACCCTGCATAACTGCATTTGGACACTGGAGTGATTTGCCATTTCCTTCAGCTCATTTTACAGATGAGGAACTGAGACAAACAGGGTTAAGTGACTCGTCTGGGGTCACACAGCTAGCAAGTATCTGAGACTACATTTGAACTCAAGAAGATGAGTCTTCCTGACTCCAAGCCCAGCGTTCTACTTCCTGCATCACCTAACTGCCCATTCAAACTAATAGGTAAGTTTTCAATCGCAAATTTAAAGAGCAACTAGGTTATACCTATCCAACTGGTAAAAATAAACAAAAATGCTTAAACTCTATGCGGTGCTAAGAAAACAGATAAACTCATATTCTTCCACTGACAATGCAAATTGGTACATTGTTGAAGAACAAGTTTTTCTGGGACAGCTGAAGTCAGTGTCAGTTATTGTACCAAGCAATAGGTTTTCAGTGACACTAGAAAAAGCAATTTCATTAGAGGGATACCTTAGAAGGGCAGCACCAGGTTACAAGAGATTGAGGCATGAAAAGGCAATAGGGAAATAGAGGTAAAAATAGAACTTACTTTCTAAAAGTTTAGCAATGAAGGAGAAGAGAGAGATAAAGAATTAAGTTTAGGGAATGGTAGGGTCCAGTGAAATCTTTTTTTAGGTAAGGGGAATCTGAGTATGTTCATAAGCCAAGGAGAGTTAGTAAAGCGGTAGAGAAATGGAATTGCTGAAGAAACAAGATTCTGGAGGAGTCAGGAAAAGGTGAGATTAAGAGCACAAATTAAAGAGTTAAACCTGTCAGTCAGTTAGTCAAAAAACATTTATCAAATATCCACTAAGTGCCAGGAACTGTGTAAATGCTATGAACACAAAAAGAGGCCAAGGATAGTTCCTTCACTCAAGGATCTCACAGTCTAATGGCGGAGACAGCATGCAAACAACTGTGCACAAACGAGATACATACAGGATAAACTAAGAACAGTTACAGGGGGACAGCATTAAGATTTAGGAGGTCCCAGAAAGGCTTCTTGCAGTAGGTGGGACCTTAGCTGAGACCTGAGAGAAGTCAAGGACAAGCCAGGAGGAAGAGATGAGGAGGGAGAGACTTCTAGGCGTGGGCGACAGACAAGGGAAATGCTTAGCTGGGAGATGGGGTATCTTGTTTGAAGAATAGCAAGGTGTCTGGTGTCACTGGATAACAGGGTATGTGGAGGGGAGTGTGGTAGGTAGGTAAGGAAAGGGAAGAAGGGGTCAAGTTACGAAAGGCTTTAAAAGNGGAGGGGAGTGTGGTAGGTAGGTAAGGAAAGGGAAGAAGGGGTCAAGTTACGAAAGGCTTTGAAAGGCTTTAAAATGCTAACAGAAAATTCTGTATTTGATTCTGAAAGTCATAGGGGGCCATTAGGAGTTTACTGAATAAAGAGGTAGCAGGGTCAGATCTAAGCTTTAAGGCAGTCAATCTGACAGCTGAGTGGAGCATAGACTGGAGTGGGGAGACCTGAGGCAGGTAGACCCACCAGCAGGCTATTTCAATAGTCCAGAGGTGAAGTGATAAGGGCCTGCACCAGAGAGGTGTCAGAGGCTCATAAGCCACGTGCTACATGAAGCCTTTCCTAATTAGCCCAGCTGCTTCCTGGTGTCCTCCCTTCCAAAATCACCTTCTAACAATTTTGTATGTATTTTCTATCTACCTACATTTATATATGTTGTCTTTCCCCTTAGAATGTAAGCACCGTGATGGTAGGCATTTTTATCCACAAGGTGCCTAGCACATGGAAGGCATTTTAAATGCTAGTTGAAGCTTAGTCCCAAGGAAGATACGTAAGCAGATAATTCCTCCCACACCTTTGGGTGGGATGAGGTTTTCTGGGTGCTGAGGATTGCATGTAATGTCAGATTTTTTTCAATGTATCAATTAGTTTTGCTGAATATTTTTTCTATTTTTTTAACTTTGTTATTTAATGGATAGTTTTCTAGAAGGGACAGCGGGAAGAACAGAAGGGGGAATACAGGTGATGAAAAACAAAAGACATAAATAAAAAAATTAAATTCTTGTTGATTGATTGATTAGTGAGTTTTTAGAAGTCCTTTTAAATCCAGCCTCAGACACTTGACACTTACTAGCTATGTGAACCTGGGCAAGTCACTTAACTCCACTGCCTCACCAAAAAGAAAAAAAAAAAGAAGTCCTTTTGACCTTCAACCTAGATTTTGATAAAGTTTTAGAAGACAGTTTTTCAATTTTTTTGCTGTCATGGACCCCTTCTGGCAATCTGGCAAAACCTATGGCACCCTTCTTAGAATGTTTATATATACATAGAAGAAAAGGAAAATGAAGAATTACGAAGAAAATCAGTTATAATAAAATAGATAATCCAAATTTTTTTAAAAACAAATCCCCAGACTCTATGTCAAGAATCCTTGTTTTAAAGTCACCTGGAGGGGAAGCTAGGTGGTGCAGTGGATAGAGCACTGGCCCTGGATTCAGGAGGACCTGAGTTCAAATCCGGCCTCAGACACATAACACTTACCAGCTGTGTGACCCTGGGCAAGTCACTTAACCCCTCTGCCTAGCCAAAAACAAAACAAAAAAAAAAAGTAAAGTCACCTGGATATCTGAGGCTGATCGCAAGTTCAACCACAGACTTAGATACAACATAAGATATAATAGAAAGCACTAACTCTCAAGCCAGAGGACCTGAATTTACATCCTGTCTCTGACACTTACTATCTGCATGAACTTGGACAAGTCACTTCATCTCTTGGGTCTCAGTTTCCTCAGCTATTAAATAAAGCAGATGGTCTCTGAAACCCCTTCCAGCTCTGAATCTGATTCTATGATGCCAGTGCACTTACTCAAGGATTCACTCTAGCCCAAGGCCCAATGAAGGGATCGCTAGGTAGGCAGGAAAGTCCCAGAGGATTTGTGATCTGCTTCTGAAGGAGCTTCAGACCTCAGGGCTATGAGATCTGAGCCCCCGACTTACACACAAAAAGTAGTAACAAGGTTTGAAGGAGTCCTAGATCATTTGTTATTGTTCAAGCCTTCAATCGTGTCTGACTCTACATGACCTCCTGGACTTCTGTCCATGGGGTTTTCTTGACAAAGATATTAGAGTAGTGTATCTTTTCCTTCTTCAGTGTGTCTCCATTTTACAGATAAGGAAATGAGGCAAATAGGGGTTAAGTGACTTGCCCAGGGTCACACAGCTCATAAATGTCTGAGGCTGGATGTGAACTCAGATCTTCCTGACTCCAGGCCCAGTGCTCCTGCCATTGAGCCACCTAGCTGTCCCATCCTAGACCACAGCTTTGGATCTAATTACCCAAGCAGTTGCTAGAGTACTAGTAATACTAATACTAGTAGTAACTAGTACTAGTTACTAGAGTAATAGAGTAATATATATTCTAGAGATATATTACACATATATATACACATATATTAAGGCAATAAAATATCTAGAGAATAAAATTATATATTCAAGGAAAATTCTAAGATGATTTCAAGTCAGACTTTTCACAGATTCCACTCAGCTGAAAAGATTAGTTCTACTGACCTCTGGATCTTTTTGATTAATAGTTACTGCCAGGGTAAGGCCATCCCTTGAAAATGCTATAATCAGGGCTCCTCTTGATTTCACTGATTCACATTTAGGAACCAATGTACATAGAAAACATTCTTGATGTGCCCAATGGACCTGGTATGACAATGAACTGTAAAAATAAAATAATGCAACCATAACAAATTCATCATATACTGCTAATTTTAAAAAGCAATTAAAATTTAACACAGCTGAAATAACAGATGTTTACATATACTGATTTCTATCTTTGAAGACCATCTTCAAGATAACTTCAAAATTTCATCTGGGGCAGAACAGTTAAATCAGTTAAATAAGAGCAACCTAAGTGTTTTGTTAATAGTCCAAACCTTCCTGGTCTGATGGGTCTAGATTTCCTGATACTCAGAGTTGAGAGACCAGCAATCAGTACTGGTTCTGCTACTTACAGGATGTGTTAACTTGGGAAAAAAATCATTTCACTCATCTGTATCTCAGTTTCATTTGTAAAAAAATTTGTAAAAAAAAAAGTAATAATATTTGCACTATCCACACTACAAGGTTGTTGTAAGGAAAGTACTTGGTAAAACTTAAAGTGCTAAGTGAGTTAATATTATTCTATTGTGTCTATACAATGGTTAATAAACATTGTGATAGGAAATTTAAAAATATAAAATTCATGTGTACAAAGAGGTCACATTTCTTCTTAACTTCCAATTTGTTTTTTAACTTTTTCCAAATTGTGTCCCCACAGTCTTGACATAAATCAGGTTCCCACTATGTCATGATTAACAACTTTGCCAGTTCCAAGAAAATAAGTAATACAAAAAAGGGCAAAGACTTCATGGGCCCCAAATTTTTAAACATCAGCCTCAAGGAATGAAATAATACTCTTTTTTGTTTTGTTTTTTCTTAACCTGAAAAGTATAGGGAAGGGTCCAAGGATGTTTATCTATTTTACTTTTTGTTTATTATTTTGTATGTGTGCTAAAGGAACTTAAACAGAGGATACATGAACAGGGGTTAGGTTTCGTTTATTTTTAAAAGAAAAGTTGTTCTCACGTAATAGATCGAGATACATTTTCATGCCACTGCAGTGCCAAAAATGTTAACATCAAATATTCCCCAGAATAAAAGGTAAATGAACACAAGCAGCAATCACCAAGCAACTGCCAAAACAAAACAAACAAAAAACTGATTTTACTTTATAAAAAGGTTTAATAAGTTAACATTATTGTAAACTAATTTGAAAGCCAAAACTAAAACACTCCGCATATCCAACTGACAGTATAGTGCAAATTTTAAAAGTCATATCCTTTGACTCAATGATCCCACTGTTAAAATACAGAAAGGCTAAAATACAGAAAACAAGAAAATACTAACTATGAAACTATTTATAATTGCATCACTTGTAATAGCAAAAACCTAGAAACAACTCACTGTCCAACCGTAAAAGAATGACATAACATAGTCAGATCAGTTAATGAAATGGAACATTATAATGTAATTAAGAATGACAAGTATAAGATATATAAAAAATATGGAAAGGCTTTTGAAATAATGGAAAGCAAAAAAAGCAGATAGAGGATAAGGGGATCCCTGGGTATGTAATACTGCATATGTAATGTCAGACTTTTTTGATATGTTAATTAGTTTTGTACAACTGTTTTTCTCTTTATCTTTAAATTCTTTATCCAAAGGGATGGCTCTCTAGAAGGGAAGCACATTGGGAAAATATTTAAAAAGTAATAAAATTTTATTTTTTTAACAGCATCAGCACATACTTATTATAGGAAAACCTGAAGTAAGGGGGCCTTAGAATTCAAACAACACAATTAAAAAATATAACGTTCCAAACTAAACATGAGTTATTTCTTATCAGTCTTAATCCCACTAATTCCATATTGTTGCATATGCTATTAAAATAAATATCAGAAAAAATCTATTACAAGTCTAAACCATATTCTTTTCAATATTTAAAGAACTGTGGACAGGAAACGTTGAAAATTTTTCATGTGACTAATGAATAAATCTTACAACTACCATCCCAATAAACAGCTGGAATTCTACACATCTTGCTAAAATAGATCTCATTATTAACTTTTTTCCTCAATTTCAAATCACATAATACCTGCTTAAATTCAAATTTACCTCATTTTTTATAAAAACAGCATCTACTACAGCTTCTTTATCTTCAGCAGAAGGCAAAACAATTGATTTTTCAGGTTTGATTTGTGACCACTGACCCAACAGTGAAGAGTTTTTGGAATATATAATATTCTCAGACTCCAAACACTCCCACAACAAGATGCATCCAGAAGGTATGATTAGTAGAACTCTTTTTCCATCTCCTGATACATATATATACAGTCTCAGAGAACATTCTGGGGGGAAAAAAATAAACCATTCATCAGAAGGCCAAATTTTGTGTCTCTATAAAATGTTTTTTTATTTGCCAATTTTTCTTCCCTACCAATTAGAAAATCGTGATACATTAACTTTATAAATTAAAAAGAAAAAACACTCAAAACACACAAAACATGTGCAAAGGAAGAAAATAGTGTTAATAAGGATGAATTTACATTAAGCACAAAAATGTTATATATGCCAGGGACAGGTCAACAAAAACAATGAAAAGAGATTTTAATTAGGATTTTTAAAAGAGGACTTTATAGTTCCCCCTTTCTATTTTTTGACAAATGCAGACAATTAAGGGATTCCTACCTAAGCCTGCTGTTATCAGTGTCTCAGACTCTTCAGTTGCAGATACGGTTTTCAAGCAGTCTTGATCTTTGTTCCAAAGGAAAATTTCACCAGTGTTAAGTAACCCAGCCAACCAAGCATCTGTTTCCAAAAAGAAAAGTATTTCTTCTAAACTATTGTTATTAAAATACCTGAAAATGTTCAGCCATTCATTTCAATTGTAAATTACTACAAATTGAAATCCATTTTTCCGTGGAATTTCATTAGGACAGGGAACTCCCAGCAAGAAAGCTCTCTACCAGTGCAGACTGGCAGCTACTCTGCAATTTATAATACTAAAGAACTGTCTGGGAAACTGAGAAGTTAAGTGACCTCCCCAGATTCACAAAGCCAGTAAGTGTCAGAGGCAAGGCTTGAAACCAGGTCTTCCCGGCTCAAGACCAGTTCTCTATTCATGCAACTATTACTTTCAAAATCAACTTAATTTAGGTTTTTAAAAATATCAGTAATACTTAACCATTACTGGAAGTTGTTAAGATGACAACATTTTTCTGCAAAAGCTGTAGACGAGGGATTTTCTTCTTTGTCTTTCCAGATGGCAAATTAATTTCATTTATATACTTATCATCCAAAAGGAAAATAGCTTCCTTCTCCTATGGAAGAAGAAACACTGAAAACACTGAGGTGCCAAGCAGAATTATCCCTTCACTTATTCTAACTATAGTAGCACCAATATAAAGGGGGGATAAGAAAGATAGAAGATGAAATCCAGTTTGAGAATGATTTTACATTTTAATCAGAAATCATATAATGGATATACACAGCAATATAAAAATTTTCCACTGTTTCTAAGTATCTTTGCTGTGTAAGTACTCTCTAAGTACCTTTTCCAACATGTTATCTGCTGGTTCCTAACTCTCTAATAGTTACTTCAGAATCTTCATGCAGTTTGGGGTTTTGAATTGCAAAGAAGTCTTCTAGGTATACTATACGGCTAAATTCTCTGTAACACTTTAAGGTATGAAAAGCACTTTATGTATATTATTTCATTTGAGTCTCACAACAGTCCTGTGAGGTAGGTACTATGATCATTCCCACTTTGGAGATGAGGAAACTGAGGCTCAGGTAGGTTAGAGGATTTGAGTAGGGCCATACAGCTTGTTAAGTGTCAAAGGCAGGATTCCACCCTAATTCTTCTTGACTCCAAGTAGTTTTCTTTTCACTATGCCATGGGTTCTTAACCTCTTTTAAGTCACAGATCTTTTTGGCAACCTAGTGAAGTCTATGTACCCCCTTCTAAGAATAATTCTTTTAAACAAATGAAGTGCTAAATTTCAGTTAAAGGTTAGTGAAAATAAAGATGCAATTGTTTTTCCCTAAATTAACACATCCCCTGAGTTCTATTCATGGACACCTTAGGCATCCAAGGAGTCCAGATTAAGAACTCTTGTACTATGCCATATTATAGATAGGCATACTCTATTAATTCTTTGCTAGAGAAGGAAATGGCAAACCACTCCAGTATCCTTGCCAAGAAAACCCCTCATGGAGTCACAAAGAGTCAGACATGACTGAAATGAATGAACAACAACAACATTAAGTCTCCAGTCAGTCACATTAGATTTATCCAGGATTATGTAACTGTCATAGAAGAGGTCTTATACAAGGTTCAAAGGGAAAATAGATTCCCTTTGCAAGTCCTCCAGATAACTCCTCTTTGTTGGGTATATTGGGCTGAATGCATAAGGGTTACCACAATGAAATCCATGATTATTCAAAAGAGATCAGCCTAAGAATTCTTACAAATGTAACTATATAGATGAATGCCTATTGTCCAGACTATGATATGCAGTTGGATGTCCAGTCTATCAAATTAGTATATTAGTATATCTATCTGGGACAAACACGACCAATGGATAATGAGGTAGGTTCATAATTAAACAGGAGAAAGAAAACTATCTGAATTACACCTGAGAAATTATGCATGCTTTTACTAATTCCAAGCTGCTCCTTGGGGCAAAGAACTGATGAAATCACAGATACATTTAAGTATTAAAGAAGTATCTTATTTGAGTGGTTATCTTTAGATGGAGGATTCAGAGTTGCTGTTGAAGTTCACAAAACCAATCTGAGGGGGCATGGAGGGGTTGTGATCTGATCTGGCTCCCATCCCTACTTGTTCTACCTTTAGGAGATTCCCCTCTTCAGATTTACACCACCCTAGCTCCAAATAATACAAAAAAATTTAACCGACAGCAAAATGTATTTTTCAAATAAATTCCTCTTGGAGAAATAATTTTCCTAAAATGAAAGATCTTTACATATTTTTTAAAATTACACTTATTTAGGGAGGTTACATGGGATAGTGAGAAAAACACTGTCCTTGAGCGGCATTAGAGCACCTGGGCCAAATGCTAGCTGTCAGCTGTCATCTTTGTGACCTTAAGCAGGCCAATCATTTTTCCTCCTTAGGTCTCAATTACCTCATCTGTAAAATGTGTCTGGACTAAAGGACCAACTAAAGTCCTATCAAGAGCCAATATTTATTAGCAAAATAGTCTCAGATAGATTAGGAAGCATTTTACTTTCAAATGAAAAGGTGTTTTGTTCACCTTATTCTACCTTAGAAGTAACATTATATATAAAATATAAAACATTTAACAAACACATATATGTTTATATGAATGAAAAGAAATACCTACCTGTCCCAACCAGGAAATTCGAGGCCAAGGTTTTTTCTGTTTGATACTTGTTGATAATAAAACTTCTAATTTAACCTCCATATTGTCAAGAATATCAATGAGTAAAATAATTAGGAAAAGGTTACAGGATGCCTTAATGAATGACAGGGAAAAAACAACAAATCAATTTTGGTTTTTAATTTCACACATACATGTGAGCTTTTCAATATTTGGGGGTAGACTCCTTTTTAGACAACACATCTTGATAAATAACTTCTCCCTCTACCCCCACTCCCTACCCACTTCCATCCTCCAGGAAAAAAAAAATAGCTTCCTGAGGAGTGAAACACATCAGCTCAAAAACAGGGATACTGTTCAAGCCTGTTTCACATCCCATCACTTCCCTAAAAGATTATTCAATAGCAATTCCTATACTTTATATTTTGATCTGTATGTAATTTAGTTTTTCAAGTGTACAAAAACTTTTTATTTCAATGATTACCTCCTTGCAAACTAAACAGAAGTGAGAGGGCAGTTAGGTGGCACAGTGAATAGAGAACCAGCCCTGGAGTCAGGAGGACCTGAGTTCAAATGTGACCTCAGACACTTGACACTTACTAGCTGTGTGACTCTGGGCAAGTCACTTAACCCTAACTGCCTCGCCAAAAACACACACAAAAAAATCTAAACAGAAGTGTAAAATCATAAGCACAATTACTAAACCAAAAAAAAAAACCCCAACCTAACAGATATTCCTTTTTTTGGTAACAGAGCTCTTCTCATTTTAGTCAAGGGAAAACACAATGTTTTACAGAAAAAACAAAGACTATCTTTATAGCTTACTATATCAGATGCACTACACATAGTTCTCAAGAGATTTATGCTGCTGATAGATATTAAGTTTCCCAATCGCAACAAAATTCATTCATTTCAGTGAGGAAAAAGATTAGACAGTAGTGTTCCAAAAATAAACTTTATAATGAAAAAAATTAGAATGAGATACAATGAATAAAACATTAAGACTGTAAACCAATACAGGAAAACAATGTCTTTATTTAAACTAGCATATGTAATTTATTTGTGCCATAAACAGTTCTAAGATCTAGTCTGTCTTCTACACAGGGTGAAACATAATCATCTGGTAGGCTTTTTATTCCCAGAAGAAAATATTTTAACAGGTAGCTCTCTTCTTAGATACTGAAATGCCTAAACTGTAGGTTTGCTAATTTAGACTAGGTGATCTAGAGATTCCATTACACTCCTGGGAACTTATCTCTGCTCTGAGACAGTGGGGAAAAGTAGGGAATAAGTAGTAAAGGAAAATGAAAAGACAGTGAGATTGAGCCATTTCTGTGGTCAGATATCTCTACCAGAGACCTGGATGAATGATACAGGTAATCTATTCCTCAAGGGCCAAGAGGGCTGTGTTAGCCCACAAAGCATTCATTAAGCTAAGCACTGGGGACACAAAGAAAGGCAAAAAAACAGACATTGCAGTCAAGGAGCACATATTCTAAAGGGGAAGACAACACTTAAACCAGGTACATTAGATATTTATACACAGAGTGGATGGAAAGTAATCTGAAAGGGAAGGCATCAACATGCTGGAAAGACAAAGGGAAAAGGCTCCTACTGAAGGCAGGATTAGAGCTGAGTCTTGAAGGAAACCCTGGAAACCAAGAAGCAGGGACTATAGGGAGCTTGCCCAGATACTGGGGGGATTGGGTGGTAAAGGGTGAGGGGTCACTAATGGTGAAGCATTCATGCCTCCTGCCTCCTGGCAGACACTGGATGACCTTAATACATTTGAATGAGACATGGATACTGAGATATAGTCGATGTGTTGATTTCTTTGCTTGATAATTCTGTTACAAGGGAGGAGGGAATAGGTAAATTAACCAGTGAGTGACAAATGCAGAGGAGAGGGAGGAGGAAGAGAAGAGAGAGATAGTGATAGTGATTGATAGAGAGATAGAAAGAAAGAGATTAATGAAAAAAAACACCGATGAAAACAAAAAGAGCACATAAATAGGTGATTTTTTTTTACAATACTGCTAAATTTAACATACTATTTTAAAAACAAAGAAAACAAAAGAATTTCACCGTTTCAATATGCAATCCTTGTTTTCTTTATTTATTGAAATGTTAGTTGATAAATAATTTCATAATAAAATAGACAATGCAAAGTAAATAAATTTGTTTAAAGAGGAAAGGTGAAGAGGCAAGGATGAAGGTGGCAGGAGGAAGAATGACAGAGGCCGGGGCTTGGAGGAAGACTGACATTGAAGAAGGAAGGTGGAGGAGGGCAGAAGCATTTCTATAGTGCCTACTATGTGCCAAGCTCTATGCTAAGCGCTTTACCAATGAGGCACAAATATTATTCCACTGGATCCTCACAACAACCCGGGGAGATCGGTGCCACTACGATCTCCATTTGACAGAAGAGGAAACTGAGGCAGGGAGAGAGGTGAGTGACATGCCCAGGGTCACCCAGCTAATACGTGTCTGCGGCTGGATCTGAACGCGGGTCTCGCTGACCCAGGCCCAGCGCTTGGTCCCTGCAGGTGGGATGGGGCGGGGGGCGGTCACTGATGCGGAAACGGGGGCGGGGGGGTTCCGGGGGGGGCCTGCGGGGCGGGGCCGGAGAGACTTACCCGGGCGGGGTGACGGAGCGGCGCAGGCCCAAATGGAGGCCCAGGAGCCCCCGAACGGGCGCCGGGGCAGGGCCTCTCCGGCTGGAGCGATGCTGAGCGGCCGCGGGGCCCGGGCTTCTCCTGGACGCGGATCCCGGGCCCACCTCCCCACTTCCCGCCTCGGGCCCCTCTCAGCCCGGGTTCCGCTCAGCCCGGGTTCCGCTCAGCCCGGGCTCCGCAGCAGCCGCCTCCCTGCTGCCCGAGCCGAGGCCGCTGCGCATGCGCAGAGCGTCCCCGAGAGTGGGGCTACTCCCTCCCTCTCCTATCCTGCATCTCCCATCCTTCTCTCTCCTCTCATCCTCCTCCCTCTCTCCCTCCCTCTCCCATCCTCCTCTGCATCCTCCCTCCTCTCCCATCCTCCCTCTCTCAGCCTCCTCCTTCCCCCTCTCCATTCCACTCTCTCCCATCCTCCTCTCCATCCTCCTCCCTTTCCCTCTCCCATCCTCCCCCTCCCATCCTCCTCCCTCCCATCCTTCTCCCTCCCTCTCTCCTCCTCCTTCCTTCCCTCCTTCCCTCCTTCTCCCATCCTCCTCCCTCCTCCCATCTTCCTTTCTCGTTCTTATCCTCCTCCCTCCCTCCTTCCCATCCTGCTCCCTTCTCTCCATCCTGCCCCCCTCCCATCCTTCTCCCTCCCTCTCTCATCCTCCTCCTTTCCTCTCTCCCTCCTTCTCCCATCCTCCTCCCTCTCTCCCGTTCTCCCTCTCTCAACCTCCTCCTTCCCCTCCCCCTTCCTCCTTCTCCCATCCTCCTCCCTCCTCCCATCTTCCTTTCTTGTTCTTATCCTCCTCCTTTCCTCCCAACATCCTCCCTGCCATCCTGCTCCCTTCTCTCCACCCTCCCCCTCCCTCTCCCATCATTCTCCCTCCTTCTTCCCTCTTCCCATCCTCCCTCCCACCCCTTACTCTTCCATCCCCCATCGTCCTCCCTCCCACAACCATCTTCCTCTCTTACCCATCTTCTTCCCTCCCACCCTCACCTTCCTTCCTCTCATAACCATTACCTTTCTCTTCTCCCACACTCATGCTTTTGTCGCATAATCAGCCAGCTTTCCTTATCCTTATACAATTGTTTCATGACACCTTTTATTTTTGTTCTTTTTTAGAGTTTTTTGGTTGTATGTTGCAGCCTGCTCACACTTACCCGTGTGATTCTCTTTTGCCTTCTCTGTGATACTCATTTTCACTTCTTTGGAGGCGGCTGTTTTCTGTTTCATTGCCATATAATAACTGCAGGATGTTAAAAAGATGGGCCTTTGCTCTGATGGAAAGTTTGGAGACAGTAAAGGACCTTAGGAGCTTCCCAAAAGCAAAGGTTTTCCTCTCCCCTCTGGTCTCCTAGGCACCCTGGGAAAGCCCAGATGCTCTCTCCCCATGCCTATCTTTGTTCCCATCTTCCTTCTAGACATCTCTTCTTCCTTTCATCTTCTCTAATCTCCTCCTTTTCTTTCTTCCACTAGCTCTCTATCTCTCTCAATTTCAATCCCTCCCTTCCTCCCTCCTCCATCTCCTAATTCTTCTCAGGTTCCTAGGGAAGCATCTCTATATCTCCTTTTCCTCTCTTCTCTCTTCTTCTAGTCATTCTTTTTTTCTTCTCCTTTTCCTCCTCCCCCTCTTTCTCTCCTACTCCACCTTCTCTTCTTCAGCCACCACCTCTTCATCTCCTACTTTTCTCTCTTCTGCACAATCCTACATTTTCATGTCCACCTAAATTGTTTGACTTTTATTTCGGGCTCTTTAGTGCCCCCTCCCTTCTGTCTTTCAATCTCTATCACTTCCAATCATTGTCCCCTTCTCTCTGTTCTGTCTTACTCTGTTTAGCATGTGGTCCCTCCCTCTCCCATTCATTTATCTATTCATTCATTCACTCAACAAATAAAGCATTAGGCTACGATCAGGAAAATTTTAAAAATTATTTAGTATTTTTTTCACCAATTTCATATAAAAACAATTTTTAACTTTCGTTTTCTAAAATTTTGAGTTCCAAATTCTCTTGCTCTCCTCCCCTCCCATTGAGAAGGTGAGCAGTTTGCTATAGGTTATACATGTGCAGTCAATCACACCATATCTCCATATTAGTCATATTATGAAAGAAAATATAGAGCAAAAAACCTCCAAAAATAAAAAAAGTTTTTTTTAAAGTGTTTTTTGATCTGCATTCAGACACCATTAGTTCTTTCTCTGGAAATAGATAGAATTTTTAATCGTAAGTCTTTCAGAATTGTCTTGGATCACTGTATTATGAGAATAGCTAAGTCATTCACAGTTGCCAATGGTACAATACTGCTGTTACTGTGAACACTGTTGTTCTACTCATATCACTTTGTATCAGTTCATGTAAATCCAGGTTTTTCTGAGAGCATCCTGCTCATCATTTCTTATAGTACAATAGTATTCCATGATAATCATACACCACAATTTGTTCAGCCATTCCCCTATTGATGGGCATCCCGGAATTTTCCAATTTTTTGCCAACAGAAAAGAGATGCTAGAAGTATTTTTGTACATACAGGTCCTTTTCCTTTTTGTTTTTTATCTCATTTGGATAATACAGACCTAGTAGTGGTAATGCTAAGTCAAAGGGATTTGCAGCCCTCTGGGCATAGTTCCAAATTGCCCTATGGAATGGTTAAATCAGTTCTCATGCGCTAAATCACTATTGATTAGAGAAATGCAAATCAAAACAGCTTTGAGGTTTCACATCTCACCTATCATATTGGCTAACATGACAAAACAGAAAAATGATAAATGTTGGAC